GCTCCAGGCCCCTTCTAGCTCTGCAATAAAGACCTAAACTGTGCACAGAAAATGTTTTGAAATGAGATGAAACAGTCAGTTGCTTTTTTAGTACTATTTGCAGTTAGTGAGTTCACAAAAAGATTAAAACAGAACTAGAAATAGCCTCGAAGATTGAATTGTGCCTCTGCTTTCCCATAAACTCTGAGCCTTATTCGTTATTGTCCCACATCCCCTGCAGATCTTGGGAAATGTTTCCGAGTTCCAGCGGGTCGTCAACGTGCTGCAGGATGGGGTGGATTTTGATATCGATGTCAACGCGTCTGTCTTTGAAACTAACATTCGAGGTGAGGTGGGTTCTTCTGTAGTGTTGATGCTGGATTTTAACTGTACACAGAGGTAATGCGAGGTAATGGTCAGAGTGAATTTGGGATGCAAGTGTAACACCTAAACACACAGAAATATCCCAAACAAATGTCACTTCCTTTTTGTCTTTGCACATCACCTTTCTGCTTCCTGCCTCGACACAGAGTGAAGTAGACGTGGTAGTTTCAGTGGTCTGGTGCCAGGATTTAGCCTTTGGAATAAACATCTTTTCCACTGAAACAGCACAAATCGTATATTATCTTTTTTTAGATACTGTTTTGGAATAGAGATTTATTAATTTCTTGCTCTAGCATCGTAAAGTGTAACTTGTCTCTTTTTTGAAAATCACAAAGGCCTTTGAAGTCCTGTACTGCCTAACTGCTTCAGTACTGTGTCCAACTAAAAGACCCTGGCAAGGAACAGATCTATTAGTTATGCTTATTTTGTTTCTCCTGTCAAATACTGCTGAGCCAATTTTCACAGCTGTGTAATTTCTCTGTGTTTCTGCCTGTTACGTGGCAGTAGACAAGCCCATGAAAAGAGCTAATAACTCCCTGCCTCTGTCAGTCTGAAATTCTGGACGCTGGCCTAGACCTTTTTCTCCAAGGAATTTAAGGAGGTACACTGTGTTAATTTACACAGACATAGCATTAAGTTGCCGGGAAGAAATGAAACAATTCTTGTCCTAGAGGTTTGTGTTCCTTGTACTGTTAGCTCTCTGATTCTCTGCAGATATAGCAAGGCAAGCAGGATCTGATGTTCTAAAATAATGGAGTATCTGCTACTTGTTGCAAACAGGCAGGAAGAAATAAACCAGCAACTTTTTTGTGTGGCATGCTGAATTAGACTGTTAAAGACAAGCCGTCTCACTTCTCCATAAACACTGCCTCTGCATCATGATAAATACAAATAAGTAGAACTAGCTTTGGATTTCATTCTTCCTCCACATTCCCTAATGAGATTCTTGCTGTGCACCTTCCAGTGGTGGGTGGTCTCCTTTCAGCTCACTTGCTGTCGAAGAAGGCTGGTGTTGAAGTAGAAGCAGGATGGCCGTGCTCTGGACCTCTCCTCAGGATGGCAGAGGAAGCAGCTCGCAAACTCCTCCCAGGTGAGAGCAGATCTGGTTTGTGTCACTGTATTGTAGTTCCACAGAATCACACAGAATTGCTCGGTTGGAAAAGACCTCCGAGATCATCACGTCCAACCGTTCCTGTCTACCCCCTAAACCATATCCCTAAGTACCTCATCTACCCGCTCTTTAAACACATCCAGGGATGGTGACTCCACCACCTCCCTGGGCAGCCTGTGCCAGCTTCTGACGACCCTCTCAGTAAAGAACTTCCTCCTTAGCTCTGACCTGAACCTCCCTTGACACAGCTTGGTGCCGTTTCCCCTTGTTCTATCCCCCATCACCTGGGAGAAGAGCCCAGCACCCACCTCTCCACAACCTCCCTTGAGGCAGTTGTAGGTGGTGCTGAGGTCTCCCCTCAGCCTTCTCTTCTCCAGGCTAAACAAGCCCAGTTCCCTCAGCCGCTCCTCACAAGGCTTGTTCTCCAGAGCCCTCCCCATCCTTGTGGCTCTTCTCTGAACACGCTCCACAATCTCAACATCCTTCTTATAGTGAGGGGCTCAGAACTGAACACAGCACTCGAGGTGCAGCCTCACCAGTGCCAAGTACAGGGGGATGATCACCTCCTGAGGTGTCTGGTGTGTTTGGTGAAGGTGGCACCGCTTTATGCACAAACTTATAAAACTCCTGCATTCCGTGAGCTTAAAACAAGTTTAGCTTGTGGGGTAAAGGTTGTGAAGTGCTGTGAAGTGATTGTGAAGTGATACCAGTTGTATATATGCATGCCAAGTGTTGTATACACTTCACACATCAGTTTGTCTATGGTTTGTTGAAGAGAATTACATTTAATACAAATAATAAAGCTTGTGAAGACAAGAAGATGCAGCCTTATCTACCCCTTTGTTGGCTGCTGCTGGGATGCGTGCCCTGACACCACGGCACTGTTTCCTCCTGTGGTGTGCACCCTGCGATGCTATTGAGTAATCACAAGCTCATTGTTTGCTCTTTGCTGTCTGCTGTGTGTATTTCTATTTTGACTGCCCTGCTTGTGCTGTAAAAAAAGGATGCAGTCTGCTGCTCTGGACGAGATGGAAGGGAGCTGCACTTCCTCACCAGCACTGTGTGTAGCTTGGAGTGCCCTCTCTGCCCCTCTCAGGCTCACACTTTGCTTCTCATTTTGTTCTTGGCAGTTACTGCAGTTGCTCTTGTCTTGTTTCGTGCGTGCGTGCTGTGGAGTGTGAGGCACGTCTGCTTGGCAGTCTGTCACACGGAACAGCGAACGTTATGTCAACCAAAAATACTGTGTTTCAGCTTTTCAGACCCCAACTGGGATGCCATATGGAACGGTGAACTTGCTGCACGGAGTAAACCCTGGGGAGACCCCGGTTACCTGTACTGCTGGCATTGGTACCTTTATAGTGGAATTTGCCACTTTGAGCCACCTTACTGGTGACCCGGTGTTCGAGGACGTTGCCAGGAAGGCTTTGAAGGCGCTGTGGAAGAATCGCTCAGATATCGGGCTGGTGAGTGAGGAATGGACTTTGAATTTGCTGGCCTGTTTTTTGTATCGTCTCGTGGATGCAATTGTGAGTGTAAAAAAGCATAAACAGAGAGGCAAGAGAAGTGGATAAATAACCAGAAATAACCCCAGTGCTGCTTACTGGGCTGAAGCCACGTGTTTGGTGTTGTTCCTGGACACCTGCAGCACCCACATGTCTATTTTAGTGGTGCAGCCCAACATTATGCCATTGTTCTGTTTCGTGACAGATGTGGCTGGGAGACAAATGCCTTCTGCTGGGCATTGCAGTTTTTATAACAGCAGCTGTGACAGATTAAATAAAAGGTCTGTCTAATGCCTTGTTTGCTTAAGGAAGAGAAAAAGAGCATGGCAAATGCAGCAAGCAATTGCCAGCCTCTACAGATTTGGTGTTTTAGGAATATCCAGAGCTGGAAGTGTTATCTCTGCGTTCACTATCTCTTGATCAGTCTTTCTTCAGTTAATTTCTGTAGCTGCTTTTTGAACCCATGTGAAGTGGAACAGATTTATTTGTATGCTCTTTGAAGAAATGTTTCCTTTCGTTTGCTTTGGCTTCTGTTTATTTTTGGTCAATAGCCCTAATTCTTGTTGAAGAAAGGAACTGAATAGCTGTGGGGTTTTCATCTTTACTAAGCAAGTCACAATTGGTATTTTATGGTCCAACAGCTGGGTCTGCTTCGAGGCTGAAGAGTCCCAGGTTTGAAGGATCTATTTAAATATTAGCATGGCAGCTCTCATGCCTTTGAAGTCCTTGGCCCCCTTGGCTCTGTGTTTGTACCTTCATCCTTCTCTACTCTTTTATAAAATGGGAATTAGGACCAGACACATCATGTTGAAATTGTGTATTTTATGGTAGCATAATGGTATATATTGGTTTTTGGCCAGTGCAGCGTTTATATTGGAAGCATAAAATTCCAAAGTTATATTTTCTCCAGTTTGTAGTTCTCTGGTAGTGATAAATGTGTAATGGAGACAATGTTTGCTGACGTAGACATTGTGAATCTGTGGAATGGGCGGTCTGAAAAAAGGTCAAGAGTTTCTTGTGTGGTGGTGGTGTGGGGATTTTTTTAATTACTGTTTAGTAGATGAGCTTTATTTCCACTTTAACTCCCTCTTTCCTCCTCCTTCACTTCTTCCAGGTTGGTAACCACATTGATGTCATAACTGCCAAGTGGGTGGCCCAAGATGCTGGCATTGGGGCAGGAGTGGACTCCTACTTCGAGTACCTTGTGAAAGGAGCCATTCTGCTGCAGGACAGGGAGCTGATGTCCATGTTTCTAGGTGAGCAGTTTTTCTCTGTAAAGGGTCCCAGAAACACCTTGACTGCACATGTGAAAGCTTTGCACGTGGAACAGTGGAAGAAGCTGAAAAATCTCAGAGGTTACTTTCAAGAGCCTTTCACAGAATCACAGAATCTCTCGGTTGGAAAAGCCCTCTGAGATCATCGTGTCCAACCGTTCCCGTCTACCCCCTAAACCATATCCCTAAGTACCTCGTCTACCCGCTCTTTAAACACATCCAGGGATGGTGACTCCACCACCTCCCTGGGCAGCCTGTTCCAGCTTCTGACGACCCTCTCAGTAAAGAATTTCCTCCTTATCTCTAACCTGAACCTCCCTTGGCACAGCTTGATGCCATTCCCCTTGTTCTATCCCCCATCACCTGGGAGAAGAGCCCAGCACCCACCTCTCTACACCCTCCCTTGAGGCAGTTGTAGGTGGTGATGAGGTCTCCCCTCAGCCTTCTCTTCTCCAGGCTAAACAAGCCCAGTTCCCTCAGCTGCTCCTCCTTTGTTGCAATAGTTTTGAAGAATCTGTGATAACAAAACCTAACCAAAGTGAGCATCCTGAGAAGTCATTCATTTGCCATGGCTCAAGTGAAAAGAGGCCTTCTCTCATTCTTAAAACCAGATTTTGTTGTTGTTGTTGTTGTTGGATTACCTACTCATTTATGTTTCTTTATAGAATATAACAAAGCTATCAAAAATTACACCAAGTTTGATGACTGGTACCTCTGGGTTCAGATGTACAAAGGAACAGTGTCCATGCCTGTTTTTCAGTCCCTGGAGGCCTATTGGCCAGGCCTACAGGTAAGAGCTGTCATACCAGTAGCATATTGTGGTTTTGTTCCTCTGTCTTGGGTGGGTCTTTAATATTAAAGTTACAAATGTAACCATCATCTGTGTTAGTTTAAAAGTTTCTTTTGATCTCTGGTTAAATATGCAGTAGTCTGAGCCTGTAGAAAGGCAGATGTTGACTTCATCTATAAAAAAGTCTCCCATTAAGCAAGATTGGAGGGCAGTTTTGTTGTAACAGACTCCACTGAGAGTGGTTTCATAGCCCATAAGGAAAAAGAAAATCACACTTCTTTTTCCCACCACCTCATAAATGCTTTATGTGTGTGAATGCTTTCCCACTGTGACGTTTGCATTCTTATCAGTTCTTACCTTTGGTCTGGGAATTTGTTAAGCCCACTGAAATAGCCTGGATGCTGTGACTGACTAAAAGAAATGTTGGCTGAAGAAACCCAAGCGTCTGTTGACTAAAAATCAAAGAGACTTCGTAGTATTTCAGGTGTGTGGAATGTGATCCCACAGAAAAGTAGCACCTGTCTCCTCTTCTGTCCTACCAGTTTTCAAGTCATCATGCCTGATGTTGTGAAAAACAGGGAAATAAATCCGGTCTTGTGAGGGCAGCATCGAATACATGGCAGAAGCAAGTCGGGAAACAAATAGTAGCTGTTTATTTACAGCAACATTTGCAGGTTCTTTTGGATTGCCAGTGATAAATTGATACGCTACAGGTACACTAAAGGTTGTATAACTATTATAAACCAACAACAATGCACTATGAAACACAAACACTAACAACAACAGCAGCAACTTGCCCACAGTAAGCCTGGCTGCCTGGCAAATAAACAAGCCCGTTGGAACAGAAATACAGTGGAGCAAAACCGAGAATACACTCAGGGAATTCTAGAAATGAACCTGAGGAGAAATATCAAGTACACTCAGGAAGTATACACCTGAGGAGGAAATATATCACTCAGCGTTAGCTGAGGTAAATAATCTTACCCACAAGGTGACCTGAGTGGTGGGGATGGAGAGGGAGCGAATTCGTCAATCCATCCAGTCATTGGTATGGTTCTGAGTTCATCCTGTCTCCCTTTTTGGGCCAAAATTGGGGTGATATTTATACTCAAATTCCTGCATTACATCACCGGGCATACCTGCGAGTGGGGATGACCATAGACAACCTTATCACTTATGTTAATGTCACAAAGTCCGTTAATTCACACCCCCATGGGTAGAGGGAATGGCTCCTTTGTTTGAGTGGGAAAGAAATGGGGGACTGGGACCACAAGGCCTCTGCCTCGTCTCCCACTCCTCCAGGCATCCAGATAACACCAGATATGGATCTAGTGATGGTTGCTACCTCCAGTGCTTGCCACCTCACCCAGTGCTGAGTTTCATGCTTCCAGGCGTGCAGCTACATGGTGTACATGACTCGGACTTTGTGACTAACTTTTTCTCTCTCTCTCCACCTAAATATCAGTTACACCATACAGGCCGGCTGAACGACCCCGTTTTTGTCACCATCTCTTGCTTTGGCTATAGCGTGTTATTGAATCAATCCCTGTGCTGTTTCTTCTTCATCCAGATGTTGCTTTGCTCATTGTTTCCACTCAGAGCCTCATCGGGGATGTCGATAACGCCATGCGCACCTTCCTCAACTACTACACGGTCTGGAAGCAGTTTGGTGGGCTGCCCGAGTTCTACAACATCCCCCAGGGCTACACGGTGGACAAGAGAGAAGGATACCCGCTCAGGCCTGGTAAGCAGAGATGAAATCAAAAGGAGCATGGAGCTTTTGCTCTGGTGTTAAGATCAAATGTCAGCAACACCTGCCCTCCTAAAGTTCCTCCCCAGTTTTGCTTTGACTCAGTTCCTGTGTGTGTTTCACCAGTGATTTCCATAGTCAAAGCCACACATTTTGCTTTCTGCCGTTCACAAAGGCAGCGCTACCTCTTAAAGGAAGCAAACCACACTGTTGCTGTATGTAGGGGCTTGTTAATGAATTGGGTTCACGTCGTAGCATTTGAAATGTTTTTAAGCGTTAGACTGTCTGATTTGGGATGTTTTAAAGTCATGTGAAACATTAATGTGACTGCTTGTGTCCTTTAAATTTAGGAAGTGAAAGCAAGTATGAATAGACCCCTCTAGTTCTGCTGAGTTCCTGAAAAAATCTTACTCTAGTTGCACTGGTAAAGCTCAGCATAAGAGGATTCTTTGTTGTCTGTGGTGCTGCAATGAAATGATCCTTTTTCTGTGTGTTTTTTTTAATAACTGACAAAAAAAATAAATTCACACCTGATTATTAGATCAGTAAAGCTTTGTAAATGAGATTAATTAATTTCCTTATGGTCTGAGTGCTCAGGTGACATCCACATTGGACACTTCTACCCAATCTAGTCACCAGCATTAAATTTAAAGTGTATTACAGCATCCCAAAAGACCTGTTTCTGTAGTTAGTAAGCACAGCACAGTGTGTGCATTGCCTATACAGAGTATTTCCATGGTGGCTGTTCTCATGGTGGTTTAGATACCCCTGTTTCAGAGGCTTACAGTAGTGCTTAGAAACTGTATTTTATGGGATCAGTTTCTTCTAGAAACATCTTTCTTCATTTGACAACTGAGTTGTAATCCTTTTCTCTCTTGCTCCCCTCCCACTCTCTGAATGTGGGAGGGCAGCATCATTCACTCGTACCTGAGCTGATGCAGTCTTTGTAGCACATCCTTAGTGTCTGAGCTTTGAGCCAGAGGAAATACAAGGCAAGCCTTGACTGTTTTCCTGGTCACCTTGAAGTAGTACTGTTAAATTAGGTCAAGGGATCTCTTTTCTTCCCTGTGTGCATGGTTTTGTAATCTTTATGCTTGCAAATGCATGGTGGGGTTTTTTTATGCAGAGCTGATTGAGAGTGCAATGTACCTGTACCGCGCCACCAGAGACCCCACGCTCTTGGAACTGGGGAGAGATGCGGTGGAGTCAATAGAGAAGATCAGCAAGGTGGACTGCGGATTTGCAACTGTGAGTGCTGAATCAACTGCTAAGGCAGCTAAATGGCTGCAAGAAATCAGCTTTTAGGAAGTTTTGTCATGAATGATGTTTTGCCATTGAGTCAAGTGATCACTTCAGTTGATACTGTGCCCTTGTGGCCGAGAAGGCCAATGGCATCCTGGGGTGTATCAGGAGGGGGGTGGTTGTAGGGCAGAGAGGTTCTCCTCCCCCTCTACTCTGCCCTGGTGAGACCACATCTGGAATATTGTGTCCAGTTCTGGGCCCCTCAGTTCAAGGACAGGAACTGCTGGAGAGAGTCCAGCATAGGGCTACAAAGATGATGGAGGGAGTGGAGCATCTCCCTTCTGAGGAGCGGCTGAGGGAGCTGGGGCTCTTTAGTTTGCAGAAGAGGAGACTGAGGGGAGACCTCATTCATGGTTATAAATATTGAAAGGGTGAGTGTCACGAGGATGGAGCCAGGCTCTTCTCGGTGACAAACAATGATAGGACAAGGGGTAACGGACACAAACTGGAACACAGGAGGTTCCACTTCAATTGGAGAAGAAACTTCTTCTCAGTGAGGGTGACAGAGCCCTGGCCCAGGCTGCCCAGAGAGGTTGTGGAGTCTCCTTCTCTGCAGACATTCAAAACCCGCCTGGACGCCTTCCTGTGTAACCTCATCTGGGTGTTCCTGCTCCGGCAGGGGGATTGGACTGGATGAGCTTTTGAGGTCCCTTCCAATCCCTAACGGTCTGGGATTCTGTGAAACATGACTTCTTTTTCAAATAAACCCCTCGTATTTCTCTGTTAAGCCAATCTGGTAACTGCTCGTCATGTTTCCAGTACTAACTTCCCTCACAGCTTGAACAGTGGGACAAATTCTATCATTGGGTGTTGCACCAAGGCCCAAAACATGGGAAAGCATCAGAAGCTTCTACTGCCTGCTGTGTCTTGGTAGCTACTAGATGTTAATTCACATTAACTGACAGGAGTTGCAAGCTGGTTTTACTTTCCCCCCCTAAGTTTGTAACTGACTGAATTTGCTGTAACTACAACCCACTGTATTTCTTCTGTTGTAGATCAAAGACTTGAGAGATCACAGACTGGATAACCGCATGGAATCCTTCTTTCTGGCTGAAACAGTGAAATACTTGTACCTGCTGTTTGACCCAGACAACTTCATACACAATGACGGGTCAGCCTTTGATGTGGTGATTACACCGTACGGGGAATGCGTCTTGGATGCTGGAGGATACGTCTTCAACACTGAAGCTCATCCTATAGACCCCGCTGCGCTGCATTGCTGTAGGAAGTGGAAGGAAGAGCAGTGGGAGGTGGAAGACTTGATGCGGGAATTTTACTCACTGAAGAAAAACAAAAAAATCCCTTTAAAAAGAGCTTCCAACCACGGTGAAGAGAAAGTTTCGAAAGACCCTGAAGATGCCTCTTCAGAGAAGGGTGAAGAGAAAAGAAACTCCAAGAAGAGCTCACACTCCCTCCTGAGTTGCCCCAGTCAATCTTTTAACTCTAAACTTGCAGTACTGGGACAGGTCTTCCTAGATAACACCTGATTCTATTTCCATTGTCAGTTTAAGTTACTGATTCAGACTCTGGGAATATATTTTTATAGTTTCATAATGGAAAAAAGTCGTACCTCACAATGTGAATTGTATCATAAAGTGAAACAGCTTCCCATTAAATCCTGCTACTGTCAATTCATAGAACGGGATTCAGATATCAGCTGTTAATGCTGTGAAGTTGCTGATCTCTTTATTCGCTTGAGAGAGCAATGATCAGTGAAGAAAACCTTTCTGTTCGTGAGGTGAAGGCTCAGATTTGTAGATCTAGCATCTCTGTTGAGCATGAAGGATGGCATCGGGAGGAGAGCACTTGCAACATTAAGTTTTATTTTATTGCAACAACTTGCAGTAAAAATTGCTCAGTTCCTATGTATGTAAAATCAGCGTGAGTCAGTATTAACTGCCTGAAACCAATTCAGTGAGCATCCAGGTAACGTCGCCTGCAAACTGAGGTGGAGCACGGACTAGCGAAGGTTTTATTTACTCTGCACTGGAGCTTGCTTGCTTCTTACAGACTCTAACACGCTTTTCCTATTAAATGTCCCCAATTTCTTCCTCTTTTAAACTTCCTTTTGGGGCCTCACTTGCATCAGCCACCGCAGGCAGTGAAGCAGGGCGCGGGGTGGCCCAGCTGAGCTTTACTATAAGGGTAGGATGGAAGGGGACTTGGTTCAGAGTGAAATGCAGCTTTCCCTTGCTGCAGACATCCATAAAAGCAATAGTAAAGCACATGTAGGTGTTTTAACGGCAATAAAACCCTTCCTCCCGGCATGCTCCGCGGCCTATGGCGGCTCTGCGCATGCGCGCCGCTCCCTGCCGGACTACATTTCCCAGCGGCCCCCGCGGCCGACGGCGGCACGGTGCACGCGGAGCCCAAGCGGGGGCGCTGCGGAGCGTCCCTCGCGCCGCTCCGTACAAAGCGGCGGGGGGAGGGGGCGCTTCCT